GGCGAAAGGGTCGCCGAGGATATTGCTCATTTGTATCCCCTTGCGCTGGCCGTACATTCTTGAGTTATCCATTTTCTGAAGTGACGGAGAGCTGAGAGAGTACGATGGCATAAGGAAAATCGATCTCGACCCAGTTGGCGATCGAAGCTGGTGAGATGAAGTCGGACAGGGGGGAGAGAGAGGGCGCTTTCTTTCGTTGAGATCGTCGGTTGACAAGCAGGTGGAAGTGAGACTCGATTGCTACCGGAGCATTCGGCGAAAGAAGAGCGACAAGAATGAGAAGAGGCTGTGCTGGAGTCGATGCGTTGGAGGCCAAGCGAAGCGATGTCGATCGTTTGTAGGGTGTCCGACGGCGTAAGACGAGCGGAGGTCGCGACGGTCGGGTAGTCGAAAGACAGGGGGAAAATAAGGATAGAGAAATGAAGGAGAAAAGAGTGACTAAAGTTGAGGATGGCCCAAGCCCACAGGTAAGTTTGAAGCTGAGGGGAGCGGTTCAGTGGGAGGAGGGAAGAAAAAGAGGGTGAAATGATTGAATTGAACTGAACGGTTTGAAGTGGGAAGAGAATGGACAGATTGGGTGGATGGGATGGGATGGGATGGGACGGGATGCGCTGGCTGCGGGTGAGAAGGGGGAAAAAACGCGGAGACAAGGGGCAACCCAGTCCAGTCCAGTCTAGTCCAGTGAAAGACCGGGGACGTTCCAACGGAGAGAGAAGGTTCAAGCAAAACGCTCGATAGTGGAGAGTCTTGGGCTTATTCAACTGCAGCGTGATGCAACTACTGAGTAAATAGGTAGGAGTGATAATGGTAAGTGAGGAATAACGCTGAGGAGAAGACGAATAATAATAACAACAACAAAAGCCTGGGTAGTCAGCTGATGCAACTCGTGGGCAATGCGCGCGGCGCGGTTGAGACGTTGCTGTAAGGGCTGTAATAAGGAACAAGTGGCTGTCGAGTTCAGTTCAGTGCAGTTCGGCTGGCGCTGGGCTGAATGAAAGCCACCCGACAGGACAGAACCTCAGTGTTGCGTTGCAGCGAATAGGTAACCAGACCAGTAATAGCGTAACTTAGCGGCAGATGTGACGCGGTCACAGTCTGACGGGCACAGCACAACACAGCACAGAATCAGGGGAATCTGAGGACAACCGGGGCCTGATCCAGCGGCAAGGGCAGCCTCGTTCGTATTGGTTGTTTGCGTAACAAAGGGACCGATCTGACAGTGAATTGCAGCCCCTGGAAGAAACGAAGAGGTATATCAATCAATGATATAGGTATAATAGTCAAGAAAGGGAGATAAGGTTGTTGGAAAAAGAAACTGTTCGTCCGGAAGGATGGGAAAGTGGGAAAGATGGTGAGACCTTAGGAAGGAGTGGAGGGAAAACAACAGGCACAGGGCTCTAGTGCCACACTCTTCAGGGCCTCGAATCCGCTGTGCACCTCTCAGCGTTGAGTCGTCTTAGCTTTTCCCTTCTCAGGCTGCCCAGGCTCCCGGGAAATGAAAGGCGTCGGCTGGCCCCAGGCGCTGTGAGCAAATCAGATCACGCCCTGCAAACTACCCTGACCCTTGTTTGTGGCGCTTCGTTTGTTCGTTGGCTCGGGATGGCGGACAGCTATCGATCAAATAGGCTCGAGGGGTCCTGGAGAAAGAAGTGTCCAAGCTGACCTGTCGTGACAGGGTGGATTGCGAGAGAAGCCGGACAACTCCAACAGGCCGAGTCCGTGATTGGATCAGAAGTGGTTGAGAATCTGCTGGTAGACAATTGTTTCGTTTCAATGAGTTAGACAGAGCAGTGGTTGTTGGTGTCGATGGTTGTGAGAAGGTCAATGCTTGTTATTGCAGTGGTTGTGAAGTTAAGGATGTGTCTAATAGATGACAGGAAACAAGCAGCAAGAGCTGTACCTCAAGTGCGGATAACCTCCAACTTATCTCAACTCCTCAGCCGTCCAGACGACCCAAGGAATGGATTAAGCCTTGAGCACGCTGAGCCGTACGGGTTGGCCGGTTAGAGCAAAGATGTCTTAATCACCCAGCCTGGTCTATCACCCATCTTCAGCCAGCGTTATTCACGCGACAAAGTCAGAGGCGCCTCGGGCAGGAATTCTTTCTGACTCGCAATCACAAAGCCTCTCACGAAAAGCCCAGCCCAGTTCAGCCCAGCAGAAATCGCATTTCGAACTACTACGTAGTACGGCAATGCCGTCGATATTCTTTCTCGAATTAATTCTCGTTACCCCGTGTTGTTTGAGGTTCGACTAGGGTCAATTAGAAGAGCGGCTATTGGCTGGTTGTGAGGACCGGAAAAGCGGCCTTGACTCCATCGCGGGAGTTTCATCGCTGGTATCCTGGCTGCTCAAGCACAGGACCACAGTTCCCCAATTCTCCGATCTATGCGTGTACGACAAGTTATGGCATTTTTTAGCTGAATGTTGCTCGCGTGCGCCTCATGAAAGACTTGAGACATCTTTGCATTGGGTGGCTGGTGATCACTGGTAACCGGATCAAGAGCGCTAACACAAAACATCGGGTACACCTCTGCCTCCATTGTGACAACCATACAAAACTGTTGGACTTTTCGGGCCGTTTCAACATAGAGGGCAAAGAACCAAGCATCCAGCTTTACCCGAGCTTATACAAAAGATACGCGGTAAAGACCTGCATTGACGCCTTGCAATTACTCGCATCTGACCCCAGCAGCAGCCGATCGTTGCGCAGCGGCTCTATTGGATCAACATTGCTTACTACGGCCAAAGAAAAGGATCCGTGCGATCGAGCCAGTCATTCATTCTCAGCTGGCTTTGTTCTACATGGGGTGGTAGATAGCAACGGACAGCATTAATAAGTAATTACCCTGACTTATTAAGTTGCGTTCTTATCATTTCTTGGGCCAAATTACGAATGCTTGGTGATTCCATGCTCTTGTCACGGTATTAGATTAAACCCCCATTCGATGCAACCCGTTACTTCAACGCGGTTACATGTATATCAAGCTTTGACTCTCTGCTCAAGCAATTCGTGTTACATTTAACTGATCACACATCTTTTACCAAACTTCAATTTGTGACCGGCTGCCTCTCTATCCGCCAAGGCTCTGACAGCCCTGGACTCATATTTCATCCGATGTTGCACACATTGAATTAGGTTTGTGCCTGTGCCTGTACCAGCACTGCACCAAGAACCACCAAGGGCTTCGAAACTCCGCCTCCCCCTGTCACCAGGCGGGTCTTACCCCTGGAACCGGCACCATCGAAATTCAACGACGAGGACACAATGAGGCTCCGCACAGCCACCGGCCTCACTCATCTCGATCCGTCTGACATGACGATCTGGTCGTTGGCCGCTTACGTACTACGTACTGCAAAAGTCTTTACTTCGCCGTGGGTATCGACGCGTGGCTTGTCTTTGTTGTAAGATCGGCTACGCTCCGCTACGTGGTAGATCTTGCACTGACAGCGCGGCATTGGCTGTGGAGTCGCTCCATTCTCAAAAAGCTTGAGCTGAGGCCTTGTTCCAACGGTCGCTGGTGTTGCTGATCGCCTGGCCTTCCCGGGTTTAGCGTCTGCATAGCCAGGGCGAGGCCTGGTTGAGCCGCCATCTGTGCGACTGTGACAGTTCTGGGGCTGGCTGTGAGGCACATTCTGTTTGAGTTGGTGATTATCTGAGTATAACTGTGTGATACTTACCATTCGCGCTTATTTTTCCTCGGCTGATGAGAATAGCTGGCCACAATGACATGACATGAAACTAGACCACGCAGTTAGCGCCAGGTACGAGTCAATAGCTGCAGCTTAGAGCTTGATAAAGACTCAATATCCACATGTGACTGTGTGTGAACTGCAAAATAGTTGAAAATTGGGTAGTGTGTCATACCCAATGGCGTACCCTAAGGTACACAAGGCACTTTGTGACACGAGAATCCGAAGCAGCCCAGACGTGTATGCTACATTTACTCAGACCGTTTCGAATCTCTGATACAGCGACCAAACTTAGCCAAAAGTGGCGTCAGCTTTGCCATATTGAAACTATCTATGGATAAAAAAGTGTATTAATGTTTTGGGTTGAACAACAGTTGTAGGTAGTTATCTCGGGTCTTCGACAAAAGTCCCAACTCTATCTGCCAAATGGAGACAGGATCAAGATCACTAACTGCGGTAGCATCATAAGGCGTAACCTCATAAGTCTCACTATACGAAATTTCAAACTTTTTAGGGAAGCTATAAGATAATGTGACTTTATGCAATCATCATGGAATTCAGTTGAAGATACAGCGCAGGGAAGCTGCCTCTCCTTCGATTTCTTCTTGAACCCCGAAAGTTGTCAAGAATACATTGCATCTGGCCCATGAGACCTAACTATTCAGAAACATCTACGTCGTGAAAGATCCAGGATACCTATTTGTGTTAAGCTGATTAAAACCTCCACTGCTTCACGGTCAATATTCATGTTGCTCGCTTACATTTTCAATGACCTAGCTAAAGCTGCAGAAGATACTGTTGACTCTCGTGCTTCTCATTTTCGTATATGACTGAGTAGTCAACAAGTTCATTGGGGCAAGTCACAGAAAGGCAAATCCAAATATGTTAGCTCTAGGACGGTGTACTTGCTGTTGGCGAAGGGCACCAGCAGAGACAAGGTTGGTAATTCCTTGTACATAGAAATCCACCTAGTCTTCTGTTTGGTGCAAGCATCACTCAGAAGCAGACTGTTGAAGGGACTGGTTGGATTCGTCAGTCACAAAAGTGTCTCACACTACAATCAACACTACCTTGCCTGTGTGTTCCGGGTTCTTGGGCTACACTTGAATTTGACCAACTTGGCGTGAAGAAGCCAACACCACCATCATGAACATTTACCTCTCCATCGAACGTAGTGACCAATTTACTGTAGCCCGTACTTTACAAACTGGAAATAGACTGGCAGGAGGGCCTGGCGAAACGTCATGAACAGCAAAAAGCAAACCTTGACACTCGCCGTTTGGTTGTCAGGCAAATGCTAACACGCTTCTCCTCACCCTGAATCGAACTAGGGACCTTTCGGTGGACATTTTGCAGTTACAGCCGAGCGTGATGAACCAACTACACCATGCAGAGGAAATTCGATAAAAGAAAATGGTGCTGATGTCGACTATGTGGGCATCGTGAGGATATCCACTGCGTTGATCTAGGGTTGGTGTTGTGGTTGAGGTGGGGCTTCTGGAAGCAGATCTAACGACTTTCATAGCTCATGGGCTGGCTTGTTGCTGAGTGATAGGAAAGTATCCATAAAAACACGAATGACGGTGGTTAAGATGGATTGTTTCTGACTGAGCTTTGGACTCGGGCTCTTAAGACGCGAGTGGAACGAAGCAGTCTTTCGGGATCGTAAAGCCCACCCGAAAGGGCGATTATCAACGGCCAAAACTCTGTCGATAAGCGGTTTGTGTCGGCATGTAGTACCAGCTTCCAGGACATGTCATTGTGGCCTCGGGAAAGAATTGCATGCGTTGATATAAGCTCTCTGGAAGTCTCGCTTGGGGAGGATGTAGGGCCTGGGCGCAGGTGGTTCATGTTGGTCTATCTCTAATTCCAAGGGTATCTTCAAACATGTTTTCATAACTCGTCTTCGGCTTCCAATTCCCGCTCTGCTCTTCTCACATGGCGCTCAACAACTTCTACTCTGGACTCTAGATCGGCCATAGCTCTTGAATTGTCGAGGATGCCTGTCTCGTACCAGGACCGAACCGCCGCTTCACTCCGCTGTCGAAGGTCAGCGATCTCGGCACCCTGTGCAATCTGTGTTGCCTCAATCGCCTTCATTCTGTCCTGCAATGCGACAAGAGCTGCGCTTTCTGATGGGTCTGGGATCGGGCTGTCTTTGATGGCGGTGAGGGAAGAAAGAGTAGCTGGAAAGGCGGAAGCCGAGGCTAGAACGATGGATTGAAGGGCGTCGGTAGATAGTTGCGAAGGAGGCTCAGAGGGATCGGGCGCATGAAAGAAATCGGGATGAGCTCTATCTAACAATGGGTAAGCATGAATCCAAATTTCAGGCTTCGCAAGGACGTACAGATCTTCATGAGCTCTCCGTACACACGGACATCGGATAGGAGAGTAGAGAAGCGGCGCTCGAGCTGGCCGAGCTGATCGGCTGCTGACCGGTCTTGAGCCAGTGCTGGCGACTGGGACTGGCCATAGAGTAGATGCTCGATACGTAGGAGTCGCGACTCGAGCAGGTCGAGCGTAGAAAGGGTCGTGTCGTCCATAGTGGTGGCCATCGTGACAGCGAGCGCGCGGCACAAGCGCGGGACCTCAAGGTAAGGTATGTCGACAGAATGGTACTGTAGAATGACGGAGTGGATGCGGTCAAGGGCGGATGTGGGGGGTCAGGAGGATGTCATGAAATTGTGAGACCTGCAGAATCATAGTCTTTGTCGCATGCGACAGCGCATCTAGTCTGAGGAGTTTGATAAAGAGATATTCTGGGGAGCAACGGGTGTATTAAAATAAATCCAGGTTATCTGGTAATGTAGTGCTATTTTATTTGATTGATCATTTGGGTGCTGCTCATCATGAGTACCTGCTGCTCAAGAATTGGGTACGTCCCTTTTCATGAGCCCCTGGAAAGCCCTGAAGCTGTTCCCCAGATTAGGACCATGGCTTGTCCACACGAGTTTCTGATTGGCCAGATCTGCGCCTTGGCGCATATCTATTGGCTACACTTGCTCGGCATAACGCTTCAGTAGCTCCCCGTCCTTTATTTCCAAGGATCGTGGCAGGAAGGAGACCCAACTGGGCTGGGGCGCCCTCCCGTCAGGAATTCCTAGTCCTATTACTATCATCTCCTGACCAGCGCTTTTGCTGCTCTCTTCCTCCTGCATCTCATTCAACCACAACAGTCTCGCTGGCACTTCGCTCGTGACTTGCCAGTTTGGTCTGTCGTGATCGGAGTGTTCAACTGTCTGCCGGGGGCCTTTGTGCCGCGGGACGGTGCAGCAGCCAGCCAGCACCAAACAGCGATCAGATTGACGCAATCTGGTCTAGGCGCTGCCAGCCTACCAACTTTCCGCCTTTCCGCCTCGTGCCTAGTCAGCAATCGGATTGGCATCCCGACGTGAGGAACGCAGCGATAACGAAACCACATACCTGCAACTTGCGACACTATCTACAAAACAACAACCGAACCCCTACCGTTTATCCTACCCTCTTGCGATTGCGCCGATACACCGACGTCACAGAGCACATTTTCGCCGTGTAATGACGAACTACTCTACTATATCTGATGGAAACGCTTCTATTACCAGAAGTGCCGGCGACATGTCAAGGTGAGGAGGAAACCTGCACGCCCCGCCGACACCGGCCATGGTTATCATCATTCTGACAATAGACTCCCCAGACCTAGACGTCGCGGTCACAAAGATGGCGGCCATGGCGGCCAAGCCACTACGATCAGCAGTGTCGTTAACCTGCTAAACACAAGTACGTCCGACGTCTCTCGTCCAGCTGGACGAGCGCGATGCTGATGTCTACCTAGTTGTGGGAGCTGGCACTCTTGCCATGCCCTCTGTTATGTCCCACATGGGAATTATGCTCGGTGTGGTGTTGATTTTCTGGTCCGGATTGACTGCTGCTTTCGGCCTTTACCTCCAGTCTCGATGCGCCCGATATCTCGAACGAGGAACCTCCTCCTTCTTTGCCTTGTCGCAAATCACCTACCCTAACGCCGCCGTTATTTTCGATGCTGCAATCGCAATCAAGTGCTTTGGAGTTGGCGTGTCTTATATGATTATCATCGGGGACCTGATGCCTGGTGTGGTGTTGGGCTTTCTCAGCAATGCCAATAGCGCTCCATATTTGGTTGATCGAAACTTTTGGATCACGGCGTTTATGCTTATTATTATCCCCCTCAGCTTCTTGCGGAGGCTGGATTCCCTAAAGTACACCAGTATTGTTGCGCTGGTCTCTATCGGATATTTAATTGTCTTGGTGATTTATCACTTCGCTTCTGACAAACATGCCGACCCCGGTAGCATCAGGGTGATCCAATGGGGTGGCGCCATTGAGACCTTGAGCGCTCTCCCAGTCGTTGTTTTTGCCTATACTTGCCATCAAAATGTACGTAAACTGAATCCTGTTCTCATATCGTCGCTAACCAGTCAGATGTTCTCTATCCTTAACGAACTAAAGGACAACTCCCCTGCTAGCGTCGTGGGAGTTGTCAGTACGAGTATTGGCTCTGCTGCCTCTATCTACATTGTTGTGGCTATTACGGGCTATCTAACCTTTGGTAATGCCGTTGTCGGTAACATTGTTTCTATGTGTACGTATGCCGATCCGCGCAACCCTTGTATAAACTAACAGAATAGATCCTACTGGAGCTGCGTCAACAATCGGAAAGGCAGCCATTGTGGTGCTTGTTACGTTTTCGGTTCCTTTACAAGTTCACCCATGCCGAGCTTCACTGGATGCAGTCTTGAAATGGCGACCTAACCGCAACTCGTCAAACAATGGTCGAACTGCAGCACCGTTACTACCCCCGTCTCCAGCTGGCGACCATGGAAGTACTGCTCCGATATCCGACCTTCGGTTTGCAGTTATTACTACTTTCATCCTCACTTTTGCATACATGACTGCTCTTTCAGTCACTAGTCTTGATCGTGTACTGGCCTTTGTTGGCAGTACTGGTTCAACATCAATCAGTTTCATTCTTCCGGGTCTTTTTTACTACAAGATCAGCAACCCCGACAGTGCCTATCACCAACGATTGGTCAAGGAGGATGATGATATCGACGAGGACTCTGCCACTTCAGATGTCGAGGCCTCTGCAGCTCTCGCTCAAAGCACTACTAGCGTTCGCAGCGGTGTTAGCATGGCCAGCAACGTCAGCACCCGCAGCAACCGAAACTCCTGGCGATGGCGACGCAAGTGGCGATGGGACTTGGAGCATATCGAGCACCATCATCTACGCAGGCTTGCGCTTGCCCTTGCCATTTACGGAGCCGTTGTCATGACCGTGTGTCTGGCTCTAAACATTTTCTTTATTGTCACTCATTAAAATGTACTTCTTGATCTTACGGCCTTATGGGGGATGACAAATGTTGGACAAAGGCGTTGTAAGACGGTGGCATATGATGTTTTCACAGCGAGTCAATTTTAATAGACCGCTTAAACGTGTTTAGACATGGTATTGGGTAGCGCTTCAATACAATCATTAATAGCGACAAACAACATTTCTCTGGTGATTTGAAGCCATTGTCTTCCGCCATATATCGTACATCCCCCCAGAGCGTTATGGGTTCTTAAATAGCCCGCTGAACAGCCCTATCATTTCTTTACGTCGGCCCTGCTCTCTAGTTTTGCTTGATCCATTCAAATCGGGTGTCGTGCCCAAACCAACGCCTCGAAATGCCTTTTATACATATCGTACAGCCTGCTAGACCGCTTAACGAATTCTGATATCCCTCGTGCTCAAAGAACCTTGTGAGTCGTCCTTCTTAGGGCCGAATTGCTTCTTCGGCAGAATGCCGACCATGGATAGTAACCGCCAGGCTGTGTCTGTAGGCTGCGCTCCAACACCGATCCAGTACCTCGCACGTTGAGTATCGAGCTTAATATCCTTGTGAAGCGCTCCAGAGTTGTCGTAGGGGTCGGGCTTGGGAATCGGGTCGTATGTGCCGATAACTTCGAGCGGGCGGGAGTTGCGTGCCGTTCTAGAGAAATCGTTAGTGGTCTGCTCAAAATGTCAATTGCGCACGTGTCAGGAGGAAGACGCACCGAGCCTGGGCAATGACGATATTGTAGAAGGGCTGGTTACGACGCCCAAATCGGGCGAGGCGGATCTTGACAACCATGGCGGTGATATATAGGGAGATTGACGCCTACGATAATAGCAATGGACTCTTGGATGTTGCTATTCTGAAAGATGGGACAATTTCGATCCGGAGTCGGGGGTTAGTTTCGCCGATGTGGCAGGTGTCTCAGGAATTCCAGTGGGGCTAACGGGCGAGGCGCGAAGGTGTGGCTTTCTTGATGGAGCTCTAACAGCTGCAGGAGAGCTGAGTGATGTCAGTCCTTTGGGCTTTCCAACCTTTCATGACTGACGACATTTTGGAAGAATC